GATAGCCACCACACGAAGTAACGAGTAACGACCCTATCTAAATCCCAGTAACGAGTAACGCGTTCCTGATTTTGGCATAATAACTAGTTACCGTGCTCGTTACCACAATAATAACGTAGTTACTGTAACGCGTTACTTAATAACGCGTTAGTCCCAACACTGGAAAAGGGTAGGTGCACAGTATTGCTAAACCAGAAAGACAATCATGAGAAAATCTTATCACTACTCAGAGATGAAAATACTTATGAGCCCCTGAAACGAGGCCCAGGAAGTGGCTACAGGAAGAGGGTGATAGACTGTCTGAAGCAGTTAGAACAAGACAATGCTATTGACCAGACCTCATACCACAGGCTGTACCCAGGGGAAGCTACACCAAGCCTGTATGGTTTACCGAAAATACATAAACAGGGTGCACCTTTAAGACCGATTGTCTGCATGATCAACTCGGTCACCTATAACATCTCCAAGTTTCTGGGTTTGATCCTCAACCCACTGGTGGGCAGCTCTGAACACCACATCAAGAACACCCTGGATTTTGTTGGGAAGGTGAGAGATGTCATTATGGAGGCAGATGAAACCATGGTCTCTTATGACGTTACATCTCTCTTCACTTGCATCCCAGTCATGAAAGCGTTGGAGGTAGTTCGTAAGAGATTACAGGATGACACCAACCTCAGCAACAGGACCACTCTCAGCATCGACCAAATGTGTTTGCTTTTGGAACTGTGTCTTCATTCCACCTACTTCACATACAAGGGTCAGTTCTACAGGCAGAAACATGGATGTGCCATGAGCTCCCCAGTTTCACCCATCGTGGCCAATTTGTACATGGAAGAAGTGGAAAAGAGGGCTTTGCTGTCCTACCCTGGAACACCACCAAGCCACTGGTTCAGATATGTGGATGACACCCAGGGCTGGACTGGGACAAAAAAATTGGCCCGGGCATTTTGACTAGAGACCGGCCCACCAAAAATGTGACGTCATTCAGGGGTAAAACCGCAAAGGATTCTGGGAACTTGTGGCAAAAGGTACTAGCGCATGCAGGCTTTCAATTGAACTCAGTTACACAGCGATAAAAAGAAACACAAAAAATGGCAAGAAGCTGTTGTATTATTAACTGCAATAGCCGGTGTTGTGCCAAAAAGTGATTGTCTGCCAAAAACTGATTTCCGGTATTTGCCAAAAACTGATTGCTCGCATTTAAATTGCTATGAGTAACTTGTTGGGTGACAAGTTACTCATAGCATGGATGACATGAAGTCATCTCTCCATCTCCATCTCTTTTATTTCTCTCTCTTGCTCCATCTCTCTCTGCTGCTCTCCTGTCTCCTGTCACAGACTTCTCCACTTTAGATGATAAATCAGCTGGTGCAACATGTAAGGATTGGCACAATTTGTTAAGATTTTGAGGAGTTTGAGAAACTAACCTTAAGCATAAAATAAAATTTACTATCAGTAACATCATAGCACCCGCCCAGCAGTATATAAACTCCGTCATGCTAGCTAGTACCAGTTATTCTAAGCGACTGTAAAAAGTCAACACAACGAAAACAAACTACAACTAAACTTGGTTTATATCTGACACAGACAGACAGCAGGTCATAACTTCAGTTCCTCTGCCACTATGACCGGCGGCCGCCTCGGTCTCTCCTCCTCTTGCCTCCCCTTTCCCTTATCCACCTGCTGGCCTCCACCACTTGCTGATGTTGCTAAATCTGTGGAAGCTATGCCATAGCTACCGCCAAACACTTCAGTTATTTTTACACATTTGGCAGCGTCTGCCTGAAGGGCTTGTTTCTTTTTGGCCCTAATTTTTTCTGCACCTGCTTTCCTTTTTTTGTTCTCCATTTTCTTTAGTTCGTCTATAAGATTGCTAAACAAGGGGGAGGGTGCATCCGACCTCCTCGGCTGTAATTGGTCCAGCCCAGAGTCGATCATGACCAATTGGCCAATCCAACACCTTTCATTATTTATACCCAAAATCGATCGGCCCATAAAAACAAAAAATCGCCAGCGGCCCACCGGGCAAATGCCCGGTATGCCCGATGGCCAGTCCAGCTATGATGACACCTGGGTGAAAATCAAATCTCAGGACGTACCACAATTCACAGATCACATTAACTCGCTGGACCGACACATCAAATTCACCAGGGAGGATATGAAAAGTGGCAGGTTAGCCTTCTTAGACTGAGATTTCCATCAGTAATGGGGGACATGTGACGTGTAACGTAAACCTACACATATGGATCAGTATCTAAGGTTTGGCTCCCATCATCCACCAGAGCACAAACTGGGTGTCATCAGAACGCTACAACACAGAGCGAACACCATCCCCACAGACACAGCAGCCAGGGAGGCAGAAGAACATCAAGAAGGCCCTGAGTAAATGTGGTTACCCCAGCTGGACTTTTGTCAAAGCTGGAAAGGCTCTTAAAGAAAGCTCCAGCCGATCCAGGAGAGAAGGACAACCGCTGCCCAAGCGAAAACCTGTAGTGATCCCATATGTGTCAGGAATATCGGAGCAGCTGAGACGCATTTTTTCTAAACACTGTGTCTCTGTGGCTTTTAAACCCCAAAACACGCTGCGCCAAAAATTGTTCCAACCCAAGGATCGGGTCCCCCGACACAAACAGAGTAACATGGTGTACGCTGTTAAGTGCAGGAGGTTTGGCAGGATTTATACATCGGGGAAACCAAACAACCTCTGGCGGAGAGGATGGCACAACACCGAAGAGCCACCTCGTCAGGCCAGGACTCTGCAGTCTGTTTACACCTACAGGCCAGTGGACACTCTTTCAATGATGAGGATGTAACATCCTGGACAGGGAGGAACGCTGGTTTGAGCGCGGAGTCAAGGAGGCCATTTACGTGAAAAGGGAAAGACCATCTCTGAATCGAGGAGAGGGGGCTAAGGGTACATCTGTCACTATCTTACAATGCTGTGATTGCAGAAATTCCCCAACTCTCTGTGAATGGTACTCATGGCCATTGATCAGTGGGCTTTGATCAGTGGGTTTTGGTCAGTGGTTGTTGATCAATGGTCATGAGAATTTGCATAATTAAGATTAAGGAACTGACCTCCCAGCCCATTGTTCCTTCAGTGGGCTGGTTTCAGTCATTATGCAAATGTACTGTTTATAAGATTTGGGGAAACCTGCAGTCAGCTGAGGCTGAAGACGTCACCTGGATGATGACGAAACGTTTCTCCCAAAAAACGCTACGTCCAGATGAACAGAATCAACTTTTGGAGGTTAGACAGAAAGAACATAGAAAAACGTGCTTGTGTAAATGAAGCAAGTTGCCTAAAGCACTTTGAGTGCTTTGAGTGGTCAATTTGATTAAACTGTTCATTCGTTTATTCATTTATCCATTTTATTCTTATACATTTAGAATTTTATTTACAATAAAATGTGATAATTACTAATCACACCTGCATTTTTTTTAAAAACAAAAAACCCCAAAGAAACTACATAAAAAGACTTCCCTATTACTCACTAACTACTCCCAATAAACATAAGAAATAAAATAATGCACCTAATTTAGATTTTCTGTCAATAGGAAACTACATTTATAACAACAATGTATGATTTTTAAAAATGCAGATTTTTACCAAACATTATAGAAAATGAGAAATCAGACTCATTTTACTTACAGTTCAGTATAGAGCAAAACTAATCATGTTTACAAGAAGAAACAACTTAAATGAACTTCTTTGTACATAAAAAGCTCAACTAAGGAAAAACTCTTTGTTCAGTAAAAAGTAACTGATCACCACATCAGGTCTTCATAAAATGCTGCAGGCTGATGAGTCATTGGTCCCTTGGTTCAAGATTTCTTGCATCAGTTCACTTAATTGTTTTTCATGTTTTTCCTGTAGTTCTTCTTTTTCCTCCTCATTTTTTGCATTCCTCATTTGTTTCTCATGTTTTTCCACTAAAGTCTTGATCTTTTTCAGGTTTTCACTCTTTTTGGTCACACGTTTCACTAAGTCATTCATTTCCTTCTCATGTTCTTCCTTCTGAGCTGCTATTTCCTCCATGTATTTCTTTTGGGATTCATTGAACTCTTCTGCTTTCTTTCTGGCTTCTTCTTCATAATTCTTCTTTAGATCTTCCAGAGATTTCTTGTAACCTTTCTCCAATTCTTTTAACTTTTGTTCCTCCTGTTCTCTTCGACGCTGATCCTCTTTTTGTTTGTTTTGTTCATATAATAGTTTTTCTTGATTGTAATCTTGCTGCAGTTTTTCTATTCTCTGCTTCTCGGACTGCCATCTCTCTTCATCTTCTTGCCTTTGTTTCTCGCGCTCTTCTTTCAATGTCTTCTCCCAGGCCTCTTGTTTTCTTCTCATCTCTTCTCTGGTCTCTTCCAGCTTTCTGTCAACACTTTTCTTCTCCTCTTTTTCTAACTGAATTTCACTGTCCAACTTTTGAAGTTGCTTTATAAAATTCTCTCGAAGTTTTTCTTCTTCGGCTTCCTTTTCCTTTCTCTCTTGTTCTCTGATTTCCTGTTCTTTCTTTCTCTTTTCTTGTTCCAACTTAATTTTCCCTTCCATTTCCTCGAGTTCTTTGGCTTTCTTTTTTCTCTCTTTTTCCATTTTTTCTCTCTCTTCATCGATTCTTTTCTTCATGGTTTCCATTTTCTCTTTATATTTTCTTTCAATCTCTTCCTTTTCCTTCTGAATCTCTTCTTCCTTCTCCTTCAGGATCCTCAGCATTTCCTTCTTTATTGCTGCTTCAGCCTCTTGCAGCATCTCGTTGGTGTAGAAGCTTCCTCCATTGTCCTTCACCATGGTGTCAATCTTTGTTATCAGCTCACTGACTTGTGTGCGGTTTTGTGTCTCAGAGTTATTAAACACATGGTATCTTCCTCCGCAGTTATGGATCAGCTTCTGAAAGGAACTGTGACATTTGTTCTTGATGTAATGATCAATAGACTCTCCCTGACGTTCTAGATCATCTCCTCTGGTTAAAAGAACGATGGTGAACTTTTCTGAATTCTTCCCAAAGGCTTTCTTAATGAGTTTAAGGGTCTCTTTCTCCTCTTCTGTGAATCTGCCAACCTGCAACACCAGCAAAAAGACATGTGGTCCTGGAGCCAGCTGGCTGACACATTTCACCATCTCTTCATGAACTTCTTCATTGGTCAAAGTTGTGTCAAACAGACCAGGAGTGTCAACTAAAACAACAGGACGACCGTCCACCTCACTCTTTGCCTTCTGACACCATGTTGTGACTGATATTTGACTTGATTCAGCCTTAAACTCATTCCTTCCTAAAATGGTGTTTCCTGTAGAGCTCTTTCCACAGCCGGTCTTCCCAATCAGCACAATCCTGAGACAGTCTGAGTCCTGTTCTCCAACTTCACCAAAAACATGAAAACAACCAGAGTTAGCTTAAACGTTGACACTTGTATACTACTGGCTTAAAACTATTTGGATCACTGAACACAGGAAAAATATGAATGTCTACAGTACTTACCAGTGACCATGTTCATCTTTAGTTGTAAGACTTTCTCCATTTGTACATGTAAAAATGTTGTAGCAGTATAACGGTGTGGTTTGTCCGTTGCCTCGACGATTTTGTCCACCACCTCAAACATCTCTGAAATCTTTTTGTCTTTGATGTTGAGGACCACATGTCTTTGTCTGAAGGTCTGAAGGAGCTGCTGGATATCCTTGTCTTGTCTTACAATGTTAAGAACAGCTGAAACTGTAGGATGTGACTCGACAGGGAACAGAATCATGGTGAAGTCATTGACTCGAGAGCTGAATGTGTCCTGGATGGTCTCTAACTCTCCCTTGTCTTCATCAGTGAGGGGAGCCACAGGTAGGACCAGGATGAAGGCATGGACACCCTCAGGATCACAGAGGGAGATACACCTGAATGATTCCTCCATCACTGCCTCCTGAGGTTTTCCATACAAGGCAGGCAGCTCCACCAGGGAAACCCAACGTCCACACACCTCTCCCTGATGTTTAACACACTCTGATGAGTTGGAGGCTGAATGAAGCTCAGTCTGACCTAAAATGGCCTTGGCTGCTGACGTCTTCCCTGCTGCTCTCCTCCCACACAGAACCAGGTTCAGACTGGACTTCAGATTGGGTTTAGCTTCTTCTTTTAACGTTAGATATTTTCCCCAGTTTTCACTCACTATGTTATTTATTTTTAGCATCAACTCTGAGTAAATTTTAGAAGAATCTTTTTTGTCAAAATTAACTAAATGCTGCCTTTGATTGCAGTCTTCAATTAGTTTTTCTACTGAGTTGCTCCATTTCTCATTATGTGTTATAATGACCATTGAGTGCTTAAAGACATTTTGACCAAATACACTCAGGACCAAATTCAGATTTTTTCTGTTCTTCTCATTGAAATCAGAAGGTTTGACTAACAGCAGCAGAACGTTTGGTCCAGGAGGACAGAGACTCACACAGCTCTTCATCTCTTCTAACAATGTTTTCACAGAAAGACTGAAGATGTCGGGGGTTTTGACTACGGTGAGAGGTTTCCCGTTCCACTCTCCAGAGGCAGCCCGACATTGTTTTCCTCCAAGAACTTTAGGAATATTAAACTCTTTTTTTTGAATGATGATCTTTTCCAGGGATGATTTTTTGTCCTCACTTTTTCCAAACAGCATTATCCTGAGTTCATGTGCTGTAAAATAAAAGATAAAACTTAAATCTATTTCAAAATTATGAAACACACATTTTCCTCACCATAGTTTTACTACATCCCATTAAATAGCTTGGACCTGTTGATCAGCTCTTTTTTTAAACACTAATTTTCATATTTCTTTCTCTTTCCTAAGTAGGAGAGCGTGCTCTCCTTCTGCCTCGGTGTTTGGCATGTAGGGGCTTCTACTAAGAACGTGAAGTCTGCGGAGTGTGTAAATACCACCGCCAACCCTGGAGGCGATCGCCAGATCTTCCCTTTCAGAAAAACCAGGTCCATCACAGGTGACCCCTCGCACCCCTATCACCACGTATTTGACCCGCTGCCCTCTGGTTGACGCCTCAGGTCAATCAGGCGCCACACCTCCAAACTCACTAACAGCTTCTTCCCCTGGACCATTGGGACTATCCTCCCACACCCCAACCCTGCCCACCTCACCGATCTGAGTCATGGTCTGACTTACCCTCACCATTCAGGCCAGTCACACACAGACCATGCCCTTCACTCTCCATTGTGTGCCTTTCTCTTGTTTTGTATATATTCTTCTAGTTTGTGTATATTCTTCTAAACTGCACATATCTCTTCTGTTGCTATATATTCTTGATTTGTTCCTTATTTTATTTTTTTACTTCTGCACAGTTGGTGTGGAGTTTCCATAAATTTGTTGTTCATGTACAATGACAATTCTATTTTAAAAAACTTAGTTAGTAACAGATGTATTGGGAGGAAGAGATGCAACTTCTACTCACAATGTGCAACCAGTACCATCTTTGAATATTATCCTAGATTCTAGATGAAGGATAAGGCAAGAAATATGATCTCCCCAGTGTGTCAAGGATCTGCCCTGGGGCCTCCTACCAGTGGTAGATGCCCAGAACACCTTACCAGGAGACGCCCACAATGAAGCATCCTTGTCAGATGCCCAAAGCACCTCAACTGTTTTTTTTCGATGTGGAGGAATAGTGGCTGTACTCTGAGCCCCTCCTGGATGGCCAAATTCCTCACGCTTTGTTAAGGGAAAGGCCAGCCATCATTTGAGAAAGCGTCTATCTGCAGTCTCATTCTTTTGGTCACTATCCAAAGCTCTTGACCATTGTATTGTATTGTATTGTATTGTATCTTTATTTGTTTCAGACACATAAAACAAAAAACAATATATACACACTACATATATTTTCATTTACAGATACGAATATATATGTAGATATACACACACACACGTATGTGTTCAGATAAACAAAAAATATATAATGAAATAAAACAAAATCGTCTGACATAATGTAACAATGTTTGGTCTGAAAAGGAGTAGGAAGAAGTATGAACATACTTATTAATTCCTACCCCTGCTCAACATCTTATTGATCCCACATAATTCACCTAATTCCCATCATCACATAGTCCACACGATACACGAGGAGAACCTATATAAACTTGGCTACCGTGATTGATATAATTTGGATATAATTTGATATTTTTATACATACAATGGGTGATCATCTTTATCTGTATCATATTCTTCCAAAATCAGTTTTCGAAGTATTTTCATGAACTTACTAATTCCTGAGCATTGCTGTAGATCTATAGTAAAACTATTCCACAGTTTTACCCCATAAATAGTGACACAAAAGGTTTTAACCTTTGACCGTGCTTTAAGAATCCTTAGATTCAATTTCCCCCTCAATTCATAGTCTCCTTCTCT